CCTGCAGTGCTCGCTCTGTCAAAGGCCTGTCAGGTTGCTATTCCATTAGGCTCCAACCAGGATAAAGTGAAGAATGAGCTCTCTGCTATGCTCGGACCCCAGCCAGTCAGAGTCACTGAAATGTCCTATTCATCATTTGCTGTGGCTAATAGAAAAGGCTCAGCGCTCTCTGTGATTGTTTCCCCAGAAATCTTCAGAAATTTCAAAAGTGGATTATAAGCTATATATGTTACTAAACTTTCTGCCTCTCCCATTTAGTTGTAAGATGTATCCTGGTGATCATTGTTTGGCATTTATGACGTATTTTTCTCTTTGATACACCACAGGCTGTTGACTCATATTTCCTCATTCATGCATTTGTTGAAGCCCTATTCATATTGATGTGGATCTTTTGCAAAACAGAGATTCTTTGCTGTATTTGCACCTCTTGTCCAAATGAAAAAGAAGGTTTTGGTGAGAAAAGCAGAGATTTTTTTTAAATGATTTACAAAGGCGAGATTTTAAAACTCTGTTTGTGGTATAACCTTGTGGACAGCATGTAGATCATTAATAATGATGACCACGAAACTGACTTCCACTATTGATTTTTGAGAAAGAAACCACAACAGTCGAGTTTTTCCACATTCACCTAGTTTTCTTTCCAGACTTTGTTTCCATAAAACTTTAAATGTAAGGGTTTAAATTCAATGACTGAAAAGAAAGTCTAAAGGATGAAAAAAAGAACAAAAAAAGCTATTACTATAGCTAGGGAAATTCCTTAGATTAGCATTTGTTTAACCATGTTTGTTTTATTATTGGCTGATTTAGGTAATGGTAGTAGTGTTGTCACTTACTGTCGCAACTGAGCTTTTGAAAGCATTGAATCAAATAAGTCTTGGAGACAACAGGTCCAGGAAGGAACCCTAGACATCTCTTCTCAGCAACAACCTCCAGTTCATTCTGGGGGACGCTAAGGTGTTCCCAGGCAAGCCTCAGTTCGGCCGCTTGCATCCGAGATCTTATTTTTTTGGTCATGATCCATATCTCATGACCATAGGTGAGGGTCAGAATGTAGACGGACCGGTAAACCGAGAGCTTTGCTTTTTGCCTTAGCTTTCTTAATCACAACAGACCAGAGCAGTGCCAATCTATCTGTCCACCTCCTGTTCCATCCTTCCATTACTCACGAACAAGACACCATAATACTTGAACTCCTCTGCTATATCTGACACCAAAGTCAAGTGAATGTGCATCTTAAGTGTGCTACAGGCAAATAGTTGTTAAACTGTTAGAGAAACTGTATGATCATGTTGTGGGTTCCACTATTGCCTAGAAGGTAAAAGTTTTAGTGTTTAAAACAACTATCAGCAAACCTATATTTTGGCATATGTAAATAACTGGTGGTGCAAAATCGTTCTTTAAAAAGCACAAACAAGTAGGAAATATGAACGGGTTTTGACTGAAATCTAATAAATACTCCATGTTAAAAAAAATATGCCAGACGGTAAGTGAAAAAAAGACTGTTGATATTAATGTTCTGGCAACATTAGCAGTCCATCAATGAATCACCAACTTAAGAGATCAACATTATTATTTGTAGAATAGTTTTTCTACCATGTATGAGAATCACCTCTATCATGCAATTTCAACGACACTATTTCAACCCTACGACTACACCTGAATTAGGTCTCTTGTCTAGTCACAGGTAGTTTTTGTGATGCAGTGATTAGGTATTTTGGTCCTGCAACTCAAGGAGTCAAATGCCAAGTCTGAGCTTCATGAAAGCAGCTATTTATTCAAAGACACTGGTCAGAATAAAATGCACTTTACTCCATGGTAATTTAATTCTGCTGAGAGCTGCTGTCACACAGGATTTCAGTTCTACATGGAAAAAGGCCAAAGGAGAAGGTCAATTCACTGGAAGAGAGCTTCTGTTTAAAATGATTCTTTGAAAAATTTAATTGTTTTGACTAGCCTCTAAACAAAGGTACTGAAGATACTATTTGTTGTAAAAGTATGTAAAGAAATAGATTAATCACATAAGGAAAACTGGTTCGTGATTCTGGCATGAAACAGTATACACCCACATGCAAGGAGAACGCAGGAGGAACAGTTTTACTTTAAAAAAAAATCAAAAACTCATTAAAACTAAATTCCATGGGGGAATCCTAAATAATACATTACAACAGGAAGATAAGGAAAACATGTTGGCATGAGTAACAGGATGATCTGACCAACTGAGAGACATTTAAACTGGAGAGGTGATTCTTTAACAAGGAGCAGGTGGTTGATTAGACACTAGGTCCAGCTGTGAGGGGAGGCAAGGAACTGAAGTTGAACTGATGATATGGGAGAAATAGAACACAAATGGAACAAGGGAGCAAAATAAAAATTTCAAAATAAAGTAAAACACAACACCAAAGTCCCAAGGATCCCAACAGATTCATGTTTTCAAAGAGCAGAGCAAGAGTTTGCTTTTGATGAATTCCAGTAAAATCACTTTGTTGATTAAAATGCATTATCCATTATTTAGAATGTCTATTCCAAGTTCATGGTACACTTCACTTCATGGTAAAATTCCAAAAATAGGACCCATTTTACTGTCATTGTAGACTCTGCACTTTTAGACTTGAATAAAAGAGAAACTTTGCTTTTATATATGCAGACAATACTTGGTCAGGGGCTTCTTTTGTATGACTTACTGTATTAATGCAATGTGAACCTGAAGCCTAGGTTGCTTTATTGACCACCTTTAGCTTATAGCTCATTGTTGTTGGGTCATGGCTTACCCTCCTTCTGGAAGATGTCAATTACTCTGTGCTGGACAACTGTCAGATCAATAGTTTTCCTCATGATTATGTAGGTCATTCAATAACATTTATGCATTAAAAATATTTAAATGTTCTCAGAAATTAAATTTGTTTTTTGTTTTTTTAGCTAAAAACCATAGTTGTCAAAATTAATTAACAGAAATTAATGCTTTAATTATAGTATTCTCTGTTATGATTTAACTCTTTGAATTACTGAGAGCAATTTACTTTTTCATAACATTCTAGTTTCATGATATGTATTAAGATGCTGCAGTATTTGATGATAATACAAAAGTATAAAATCTATAATATAATTATGTATAAAATTGTAAATAAATAATTCATAAAACAAATTATATTAAAGGTGAAGGTACCAAGTTTTGACTCTTTGAAATCACATCATCTTTCTAGCCCTTTCATCTCCTCATTATTTGTAAGCTGGTGTTTGTACACTTTTGTTTAGTTGCTGTGTTTTTGTGCAGCCTGTCATTTGAAAACAAATCATAAACACTTTGATGATAGATGGCGATAGCTATTAGATGCAAAAAATCTGCAGGTAAGACTTAATCACAGCATTAATCACTGAGATAAGGTGAACAAAGCAGGTAAACAGCCCCAAGGTGCCGAAGTCAGCCTATCTCATCTACATCATTCTCAGACAAAATCTTGATTAGAAAGGCCTCATTTGAGAAAGCTATGAATATTCTTAAATTAATTTCATACTTTTTTAACCCCATCTGGAAGGGTTGGCTCTGTGTAAAATAATGATACGAGCTCAGGGGTTCTATTAAGCCTCTGACTCATCCCAATAAATCCACTCACCACTGCAGTAAAATCCAGCCTGACTTGTTTCGAAACCCTTGTGATGGCTGCAGCATTGAGATATCTGCCCTTGATGGCTCATGTCCTGTCCAACTTGTCACTCATGAAGGTGATCACTTGAATTTATTGCATGAATTTAGGCATGAGTAGTGCATAAGACATGCCTGGTCTCCTCTGGCGTAAAGTATGGCATGAAGGGAATAACAAATACAGTCAGAGTTTCTTGTAAGAGCCTTGTACGACATCTGCCATTTAAAGATTAAGAAGAGATGCCACTTTCTGAAGTCGACCGTGGCCATTGTATGCTTAGTTCAGTACAATTCTGAATGTTATTTGCTGCAACAATAAATCCAATATCAGTTTTTTATGCATGGATGTGATTTTTTTTTTTCTTTTTCCTTACCCTGGGGAATGTTAACATGCTGTGGTAAGCATAACAAGAAAAAACAAAGTGTCTAAATGTGGGAAGATTTGCATTTTTCACTCATGCTGCCACACAGTTCCTTGTCACAAGAAGATAGGGATCTCACGGTGGGAAATTGGAAGATTTATGTTACTCTACACGGAATCGAATCTATCTAACATGACAGTTTAATCCTCTCAGAAAAATCCCTCAAGATCAAGAGCAAGCATTTCAAAAGTTTCTTTGTGTTGTTTTCATTATGATTTGTTGCCACATAATAAACAGAAACTCTGACAGCTAATTTTGAAACGTTTCCATCTTCTGGGTTGAAGGATGTAAGTGAGTTTTAGCTTATTCTTCTTCAAAGCATTACCATCTTAATACAGAACGGTAGCTGATGACATTCCCTTACCAGTTTAAGCCTGCATCTCCACAAAGTCTTTTTTTTTTTTTGTTCTGGGGTTGATACACACAATTAGTCCCAAAACACATTCATCTCTGTGTCACAGAGCTTGTGTCCTTCCTGAACAGTATGATGGTTGGACATTCCCATTGTGTTTATAATTACTCACAGTTGTTTGTGCACATGAATGTGGTACCTTCAGGCATCAGGAAACTGTACACAATGATGAACCAGACTTGTGAAGATCCATAATTTGCTTGCTGATATCTTGCTGAATTTCTTTTGATGGTGTGACAAATATGCAGCACATAAATAATATTCCGGCAGTTTCTAAGTCTGATCTAAAACAAGAAATCCTTGACAATGAAAAAAGGGCTTAATATTTTTGTAAAGTCTATGTAAAAATCTGGTTTTAAAGGTATACTTGAAAGAAAAGGGGCAGTTTTGATTGCAATAACCCCTGCAAAGAGACTTTTAAAACATTTCTATTTCAAGGCATGGACTCATGTCAAAGCTTTATGTGGGAGGAAGCTTGAGTACCCAAAGAGAACCAACACATGCACGGGGAGAACATGCAAACTCCATGCAGAAAGACCCCCAGCCAGGAGTTGAACCCAGGACCTTCTGGCTACAAGGCAACAGTGCTACCAACTGCATCACTGTGCAGCCTGTTGAATTTCTATTGATTTTTTTTTTTATATCTCTATTATAGAGATAAGTGATAAAACAACTTAAAGTTGACTTAGACCCACAGCCTAAGTACTTAACTTTTGTCTGTGACCCATGGTGTCGGGCTAAAGTATCAAGAACAATGTGTACCTCATGTATTACGGTGTGAACATTGAGTGACTTCAGGTCATTTCAGAAAACAGAAAATTCATTAATCAAACCTCCAACATCTTATTCTCTTTTTAGTCTCTTGTTAAGCTTACAAGAGACTAAAAATAAAAGCCTTTCTTGTGGTGTTAATTCAGAAATCACACCCTCCCCGTCTACTCACTACATTGCGCATTGTTCCGTAAATTTTACATTTAGTAGACATTTAAATCAGACATGGCCAAAATTATTTCTTTTTTAATTTTAATTTTTATTACTTTCTTCAAATGCAGAAGTTTACATATACAGAGATTATTATGCCTTTAAATAATTTGGAAACGCCCAGATGACCATAGCTTAGTAAACTACCAATTTAACTTAACTTCAGCATTTGAGTTAAATGGAGTCACACCTGTGGATGTGTTAAAAGGGAAAACCTCAAATACACTGGTACCTTGTGGGATCAAAAATCAAAAGAATTCAGCCAAGATATCAAGGAGAAAATTGTGGACCTTCACTAGTCTGAATCATCCCTGGTTGCAGTTTTTACATGCCTGAAGGTGTCACCTTTATATGTTCACTAATTGTATCTAAATATAATGCAACAGGAACGTGCAGCTGTATTCCAAAAAATGGGTTCTATATACCAGAGGTGAACATAAAAGGCATGATTATAGTTTGCAGATGCACAAAGGGACAAAGACCTGTCCTGTGGTCAGATGAAACTAAAATTGATATGTGTTAATGACCACTGTGACATCTGAATGAAAGAGGGGGAAGCTTCCAAGTCTGTGAACACCATCTCAACTGTGAAGTACAGACCTGAATCCTCAGAGGCACATAAAGAGAATCACTAAGGCAGCCTTCTATTGCCTGAAGAACATGTCCAGAATTAAAGGACTAATATCCCAGAAGGATCTTGGAAATCTCATCTATGTGTTTATCTTTAGTTGAATTGATTATTGAAACAGTGTCTTCACAGATCTGCCTAAAATGTCAATCAGACAGCTGCTGCTAATCCAGATTGCCGCTGCCCGCGTCCTTACTAAAACTAAGAAAATAGATCACCCCAGTTCTAAAATCCTTACACTGGCTCCCTGTATCTCAGAGAATAGACTTTAAAATATTTCTGTTGGTTTATAAATTACTGAATGGCGTAGCACCAAGACACATCAAAGATTTGTTGTTTTTGTATCAACCTTCTAGAACACCCAGGTCTTCTGGCTCAAGTCTACTCTGCATCCCCAGAATCAGAACCAATAATGGAGAAGCTCCACTGATCCGAAACAGACTTCTAGAAAATTGCTGAATACCGGAGATCTTTTAAATCAAGGTTAAAACCCCATTTGTTTGCTTTCTGTTACTTCTGGAATCTATTTTACTTTTCTAAATGACTAAATGATTTTTTTTTATTTATTTTGTGGCAGAAGTGGCCTTTGTTTTGCAAGTTGACCAACAGGAAATGAGGTGGAGAGTGAAAGTGGAAGACATGCAACAAAGACCAAGGGCCAGGGGCTCAAACCCATGACAGCTGCATCATGGGTTGAACACTTTACTCCTACGCCACTTTCACAGAAACATTAGAGGTAAGTTGTTGGCGACAAATGGGTCAAACAAATGGACAATGATCCTAATCATACTGCCAAATAAATAAATAAGTCAGTATTTTGTAGTCTCATAGAAAATCTGAAGGCAAAGCTTGAAGGAAGGAAGCCTATAAGCCTGGCTCAGTTACACCAGTTCTGTCTGGAAGAATGGGCCAAAATTCCAAAAATACTATGAGGAGCTTGTGGAAGGATATCAAAAAATGTTGGAACCTAATTTATACAGTTGAAAGGGGTATTCTACCAAATTCAAAAAAAAGTAATTAACTTTAAGACCATGAAGGAAGTGAAAAAAATATTACAGAATTATGTCTCCCATCGTTATTGTATTTTACATTAAGCAATAATAATTTTGGTAATCATAAATTACGTAAAATAGGAAGAGTTTAGTTTGATTTTCTCCCTCTTTGATCTCAGACTTGACAAATGTGGGTGTAATTTTAATGATTTTAATATTTCAGTGCATACCACGTGTTATGCAGGTCACTTGAGACGAACTTGGCCAGCATTTAATATAATATGTAACATGCACTTTTCATTTGAGTGGATCAGCTACAATGAAACATAGCATTTTCTATACCCTTTAAGACCTTATGTTTTCCTTGCAATCAGTCCCACATATTTCAGCCTGTTCATTTCATACAACAAAGTTTAAGCTAACGCAGCCAGAGGTTCTGAATAATAAAGTAAGAGGTGAAAACTAAAGGGCTACACTAGCACAATCTGTCTTCTTTGTATAAAAGTACTCTAACACCTCTGTTGTGGACTTCATTAGTCTTTCCAAGCTCCTTACATTTTTAGGGATTAATTATTCAAAGACTGCATGTGGGCATAGACGAAAGGCCTTAATATAATATAGTAGTACAGTGATTTTTTATTTATACATGGTCATTCAATCTCCTTTTAGGAATTTTACATTCATCAACCGTATTATTTCAACAGAGCAATGTGAAAGTGTTGAACTGATTATTTGTAGAAAAGAAAAAAACACAAACTTGCACAGAAGGATTATTAAAATACATTTAAAGCACATCTTCACAATATACTGGATATACAGCATTTTTTTTTTTTTTAATAAAACTTTGATGTCTTCAGTGATTATGCATTGCTTCAAGTTTTGGTATATGTACTTATGTAGGGACATCTCATGGTTACTTTGGCAAAAAGAATTCACTCAATTTGCCAAGCTCTCCTATTACTCTCCGGTAATACATCATCTGAAGGTATTGCTATCATTATGTTAATTCTGTTGATTCTGTTTTCTATCTTTGTAGAAGTTACATCAGGCAGGGTGTTAAATTTATCAGTGACACCTTACCTGGAAGGGGCCATCGACTGAGCTATTGCAGCCAATACCTTAATGTTTTCTTTCGATAGATCATATACTTGACCCTGTGTTACTGTGCTCAATCATGTCTCTGTCGTTCCTAGACAAAGCAACTAAAGGAGCTATTGCTAACTCTTTTATGTAAAAAAAAGTGTCTTATGTCTTTTTATGGAAAAAATTTTCCTAAAGGCTCAACGCTTATTTGTTTAGCTGTCTTTCTCTCCAAAATAAAGTCACAAAAGGAACTGCTGCTGCCATAAAAAGTAGTTGTGGACCAGAACCAGAACCATGTTTTTTGTTTGTGTGTATCCTCTGTCTTCTCCACCCCCCAGTTAGATGGTCCCTCACATTTGTCCCTTTTTCTCTGGCTCTATTTAGGCGGTGTGGTGCAGGCCTAAAGAAAAAGATGTTATGTCAAAAGTTATGCTAATAGTGTGGTAGAGGAGGTGACAGACAAGACAATACCGTTCAATGCCAGGTTTTTGTCAACAATGTCCCTAAAATCTTAAAGTAGCTTAAAATCAACATTTAAAAGATGGCTCACATTTACTTAATGTCTATTAACTGAGATATGTTTTGCTGTTAAAACATGCATGTTCTGTTAAAATACAATAAAAGCTGCAGCACAAATTGTTAAAAACATGAGAATTTAAATTCAATTTCCCTGACATTACAGACCAATGACTAGAAAAGGCAAGTAAGGCTAACATGCCTTATAAGCTTCCTGCCAAAATATCGCGTAAATCTGGGATGTCTTGACCAGACTGAATTTATTATTGGAATGTCTTGACCAGATGGAATTATTCAACTTATCAGTAATACCAATCTGAGTAGTCAGAATGACAATTCAGGATATCTGAAATACAAAGGCTAGATAAAGAATGTTCAAAATATCTCACATTTTTTTTTGGAGATGTCTTAAAAGGAATTTTGACTAGTCAAAAATACAGTTCTAGATATCTTGACTAATTAGGCCATTTAAGATATCTTTAATTGGAGTTATGACTAGTCAAAACAAAAAGTAAGATATCTTAAATTCACTTTATGCCTAGTCATAATTTAATTGTTGATATCTAAAATGTACGTTTCAGATAGTCTCACAGCAGGAATGATTTTTTGCAGATGTTTTATATTGGGGCCTCCATACAACTTAACTATACATCTGATGTAATTTACACTAGTCAGAATGCAATTAGAGAAATCTCAAATTTGTATTTTCCCTAGTCAAAATATGATTAGAGATATCTTAAGTAACTAATATGCCTAGTCATTAATCAATTTCAGAATCTGGAGTGAAGCCAATTTTATGTTCAAACGGCCTCTCATTAAAGTATGTAATTGACTGCATCTGGCTGTATAGCATTAAACTGACTAAAAAAGTATTTGCTTGAAATATATCACTCTCTGTGTATTGAAACGATGAGTTTTATTTTTTAAATTGTTTTAGCCTACTGAAATAAATACACTTTTTAATTGTCTTCCAATCTCTTAAAAATGCCCCTATGCATGTACATATGCGACATCTATGTCTAAACCTGGTTTAGTTATGAAATGAAAGTGGTGTGAAGTGAAGAACCGTTTCAGGGCCAGAGGTTTGTTGTGAGAGTTAAAATGATTCGAATCTCGGGAAACAACCGGACTTCCCATTCCCAGTTCAGTTCAGCTGGAAGAGCTCATCGAGGACAATTATTTAGGGCAGATTCGACATTTAAAAGAGACAGCAAACACACAAGTAGCAGAAATTAACCCACTTCAGTTAAGATAATACAACTGAAAAAAAATTAAATTTTTACATGCATATTGTTGTATATAAGTAATTTTAAATATTGCACTTTGTGTGAAGTTTTACCCGAAAGTGCCGACGAGATTTGGGAAGTTACTATACTTCCTTTCCAACATGGCGACACGCTGAGTGGAGT